CAACAGTGGTTCTCTCTGGCATTAAAAAACAACACTTCTAGCACATTTAGCAACCGCACACGACTCAGCATCTCATCTCCTCAGAAAGGGAAATATTTATCTTGTCTTTTCCACAACGCTGAACAGTAGCTGCGATGTGTTGCTGAATTATGTATTTATTCAATACGAGCGGATGCATTTCAATTTATTTTTTTGACCAGGCGGATCGAACTGCTGCCATTAAAATGTATGAGAGGGTAGGATAAAGCTCAGAGAAGATGACAAATGAATGGATGGAGGGGCAGGAGATGGAAAGGTATAGAAAGAGAGGCAGTGGGAGGATGGGAGAAGGTGGGGGGTGGTATTATTCTGTATTTCCCAATGGACTATCTCAATATATCTTTGCAATATAACACAATTTTCCAAATGAAAAAGTCTTGCTTCGTAAATACTGAAATGTAATATTGGTTTAAAACCTGATCTCCCGAGTAGTGTGCGCATGCATCTCTCCCTGCTACTGCCTGACTGTCTACATGTTTCTGTATGATTGTCTTTGCATGCATGCATGCCTGCCGGTTCTTTGTTGAGTGTGTGTGTGTGTGGTTGATATAAAAGGAAGTTTGCTTCAAGTTACTTCTTTCCAATGGCTGACTTTTCCATTGCCTCTAGTGTTTTTACAAACAGATCAGTAGGATGGGAAACAAGATGGAATTTAAAGTTAGTTTGACCTTGTTTCATAATGTATCAACAACTTTTATCACTGCATTTCTTTGTCTGTGACAGTTTATTTCTGTGTTGTTTGAATCAGTATCAATTGAATATCACCACACAATGTTGTTAAAATGTAAATGTAACAGCTATCGGTTACATATTTACGCATCCAGCAAACATAGAGCAACATTAGCATGCATCAGAAATCATTTTTCTGGCTCCCTGACAAACGTAAATTAAAATTGTAAATTCACTCTCCTTTTAGCTCTGTTTTGGTCTCCGCCAACTCCAAAGGGAAAAGCTCACCCTTTAGCAGTTAAGTGTTCCACTAAACCGCTTGTTGTATCTGTATCTGTATCTGTATCTGTATCTGTCTGTCTGCCATTTTGGTGCTTGGCATGTTGTGTAGATTATCCGATGTTTTTTGCTGAAAACAGCTGCCGGCTGCGTCTGAAAGTAAGGTTGATGAAAGCGATGAGAGTGAACCAAAACAGTAAAGCTCCATATAGCTGAGGGGAACTGCAGAGTTGCAGACTGGTTAGTCAAACATATATTCATCCATTCTGTTGTTGATCTAAAAATATTGATTAGTGCAGCTTTAATACTACAATGATTCGTAACAACACCCATGACACTGAAAAGGCTCGCATTACTTTCATATATGGATAACTTAATGCATGGTTCCTGAACGGCTGGCCTGTAGCAAGGCAAGATACACGACAGATAAAGGAAAATATAGGAGAAAGTTAGAAAGATGGTAACTTTTCTCACTCGTTACCTAGCAACCATTCATAAAGCACAGCCAGAAAAAAACCTTAGCGCAGCCAGATCGCTTGGCTGGGACTTCCTGTTATAATGAATGCCCAGTTACACTTGGAAAAACAGAAAGGTGGGAGTGTGCCTGAACAACAGTGAGAGGAAGAATCTCAGCACAGCAATCTTAAAATAGTCTTGATGGACTCTTCCCTCTGTGGATTGAAACAACAAAATACAAGATTACACAAGCTGTACAGGGATGTTCAGCGGGACTGGGGACTGAGTTTTGATGTTGCGTACAACTAAAAATACTACATCCACTAAGAAACCTGGGTAGATACATATATGCTGTCAGCAACAATGGCAGCCATTTTGCTCTATAGTCTGTCAGTCCACAGCACAGGTCTAATTCCTAAAGCAGAAAATACTGTAACACGGATATTCAGCGGAATATTGGATGACTGACTTGTATATCAGCAACAATCATTTCAACACATTGTACATCATCAAGGGTTTGAATACTCAGATCGGATGGTTTCAGTTACAGATTAAACGCTGATAGTCACCTGCCACATCATTTATGTAACCCTATCCGCTCTTTTGTCCCCGCTTTGCTTTGCAGCAGTGGATGCTGACGGTAAATTCTGTCATCATACTGAAACCTTATCTTGTGACTCATTTCATTCCATAATTCAATATGAAAGTGGTCGAAATAATTAAATGATTTGTATGCAGTATATTTACAGGCAAAAAAAACAAGAAACAAAAAAAGGAACATTTTCTCTTCCATTATCTGAAAATTAAAATTATATTTTATATGCTTCACAATCCAACTACAAGGACATCAGTAGGACAATCCAGACAGTTTGCAACCACACTGCTGCAAATTATTGCTATAATCAAGGCCAAGAATTGGTCCTTCAGAGGCCAAAAATAGAGGCACAGAGACAGTGAAAGAGCTGGATCAGAACTCTTGGATCATGTGTTTGATCATGGAAAGACTACAATAGGAAGCTGAATTGGGGGAAAAGGGCTTTCGAAGACAATCGCATAATGAAACAACAAAAAAGACCGACAAACAGCCACACGCACAGTCGGGGCTGCACACATTTTAACAAGTATGTTGCTGATTGAGGCTGATTGAGCGTGAGCGAGTGCACTGGCAAGGAGGCCAACTGTTTTAGGGAAATTACTAAGATGAGTGGCACATTGCCTGTCAGCTTTTTCTGGGACGAGATGCCCCGTAACACACACACTTGAACACAGAAACACACATACACACATGCAGTGCTTCTCTTGTGACAGGAGGGAGGAGATAGGGGAGAGAGCAGACAAAAGCCAGAACTGTGATGCATTTCAAAGTGAACAATTCCTCTCATAATTGGGCTTTCTCGCTTTCTGTTTGAGAGATAAATCACGGAGAGTTGGTGGATTTGATTCAAGGTGCAAAATGAGCGCTTCATTTGACAAGAACGGACTAAAAATAAGACATCCCAAATGCATTTTAGACTCTTAAAATCATGTTACAAGTGCTTGATGTGTCATTTTGATATATTGTGTGTGTGTCTCTGTCCTTCCTCTCCAGCCACATTCCCTATTCCCTGTGCCCTTTCATCTTCTCCTGTTCACTTCCAGCCACTATAGCTCTCGGACTTTTCAGCCTTCTGCACACCTGACTCCACTTTCCTCATCTGCTCTGCCTGGCCGTCCCTGCCCACCTCCTCGCCTGCATCTCCCAAGCACCCAGGTGACGTCCATTCCCTCTGATTAGATCAGCTCTACATACACCAGCCCAGTTCCTTTGTTCCTTGTCAGTTTGTCACTGTTACTATGTGGTGTTTTGTTCGCTTGTTATTTGTCTGCTGGACCTCCTTCTCCAGCTTTGGGCTGTTGATGCCTGTCAGCTGATCCATTCTTCCACCATAAAACATCTAATTTATCCTGCTACCTCCTACTGTCTACTGCATTTAGATCCTTCCTCTGTTCCAAGATCCCCCACACAGTAACAGTGTGTGCCCAACTGAAGCTCACAGGGTGCTGAAGAAGATAAACCAAGTTCACCTCAAGTAGAGCATCTTTGAGTCGGTTTGAAAATGCTATTTATTAGATCTGTAAGGATGAATTATGCTTTCTTCTGAATGTCACAAAAGTGTTGTTTTTTGAGACAAATTCTACAACATCTCCTTTTATCTACTGCTGTTTCTATCTTACTTATCCCCACATCCCTCCAAACCCTCACTTCTCTGCCTTGACATGAGACAGAGCAAGAAAGATGGAGAGAAAATAAAAGAGACCACCTCCTCACAGCAGTGGGAGTGCGCAGCGTCCATGAGGGAGGGGTGGGGTAGGTGGGGAACGTCTTTGGTGGTTGCGGAAGCTTTCTGGCATCTGCTCAGTGTTCCAACACGACAGCTAATGCTGTTACAGGAGGTATAAACAGTCTGCGTCCTTATCTCGAACACAGACCCAGGACGTCGGCGCTATCGTCATCGTTGTATAACTCTTTGGATGCAACAGACAAAGAGAAGGCAGCACAGAGGAGAGAGAGAGAGAGAGAGAGAGGGTGTGTAGGATGTGTTGGGAGAACAGAGCAGGGTGATACATCGCTGATGAATATTTTAGAGAGTCCTCTGTTATGTGAAGAGGAAGGAAAAGGAAGAGACAGTTGTAGTACAGCTGTAGTGGGAGGATCTCAAAGAAATCAGGACACGAGGACACACACTGAGACATATTCCCAAGGAGGAACCGGTTTAGAGTTTCTTCATGTTTCAAACGGAAAATTTCCCTTTCATTTAGATGAGCTTTAAAAATAACTTAATGTATATAGCACCTTTAAAAACAAACTGTTTAACGTGCTTTAAAGGAACCTGTGAAATGACATACCTCTTTCATAGTTGTAGAATTTTTTAATTCTTTGTGGCGTCAGTGTGTGTAGTCCTTCGTTATTTCTACACTGATGCACAATCTAGCTCTTTCATCCCCTGTGTAGGTCAGACCACTATGAGGAGATATAAAATTGTACACTCGTTGGCAGGTCACCAAAGCTGTCCAAAGATTGTGTCACCTGTCAGTCCGTCCATGTGACCTCAGCTTGGTTTATTTATAATACTACAAAGAGAATCCCGAATAGACTAGACCTAAGAAGCTGACATGCATTCTCCGGCTTTGGTCTAAAAGCATGTGATCCTATGGGTGTGAACACCGAGCAACACTTATTGACAAATGCTACTTTGAAAAATGTGTAAACTTCAATGCGCTACAACTCGAGCTTTATGGAGTAGCAATATTAGATTGCTAGAGTATCCCTTTAACAACACTTATATCCACCAACCATTCAGCATAGAGGCAGGAGTCTGGATTCTTTCTTTGCTTCATGCCGGAGGAGCTGATGGGATTATGAAGAGTTCCGTTTTAGTCAAGGGGAACAATAAAAGATTAAAGGACGATGGCACTCTTAGCACTCAACTTTTCTTTGGTAAACTCTCATAACAGAAATAGTTCAGCAGACAAAGATGACCCTTAATACACACAATAAATCAACACAACAGCAATAGTACATTTAGGATTTTAATATACAGTTTTCAAGATAAAGTTCTTTGATAAACAAAGGGACAGTTTTTTGGCTATATATAAAAAGCTATTTAGAAACCAGTGACTAGACTTAGAGACAACAGTGGCTGTGTGCTTACACGTTCAGGTATCAAATACAGACACAATTTGCTCGGAGTGAAGAGGAAACTCACACAATTCAGAATAAACGTCTCACTGACTGATTTACAAGAATCACTTCATCAATAGTTTGAACCACGTTACTACACACTGAGCCATTTAGAATGAGCTATACTCCCAGAAAAGATGCAGAGAAAGAGGATACATTTCGGGAGGTCAGTTTACACTTGTCACATCAAACAACAACAACAAGTGGGATATAAAGACTTAAGCTCACTGAACTAAATACAAAAAAAAAACACTTAGTCATTTAATGGTTAAAAACTGAGCTCCCTGGACAGGTTTACACATCGGCCCACGATAGCCTGATAGTCTTGGTAATAAAAAGAGTTGTCAAACAGGCTGCAGGGCATTATGTTGCAGTGGTGCTTTGTTTCTGCCCATTTCCTCTATTAACTCGAAGAACTGAAGGCAGCGCCAACCAGAGGCTACATCCACCCGCATCTCTTGGTGCTCATAAACTGTAGTTCATTAAAGCCAAAGGGTTGCTGCTTCCAGCTGTGTGCACGGAACACCCTTCATCCACAGTTTTTCCCTATGCGTATATTTTTAGTATGGCCCTGGGTGCTGTCAAACCTGTTGTGATTTATGTTTTTTTTTTTAGTAAAATTCTACTTCCTGTATTGACGGTGCTGAGGGCAAACTGACCTCCACGCTGAGAGAGAGACACCCAGAGATAGTGTGCTACTACCACAAGAGACAGACAGAGATTAGGTGTTTGGCAGTGCAGAATCGTATGCAAAAGATTCATCGCAATATACAGAATACCAATGAACATCACACCTGGGTCATTACAGAGTGCACGACCATTCATTTTTGTCATAAGCATTAAAAGATATTGGATTTTTTTATGACGGTTAAACAAGCAAAATAAAGGCTTTCAAGCGTCATTTCCTCTGCCATGATATCATATGTGTTAAATGGTTATTAGGCAGTTCAGTTTTCAGTACGACTTTAATTACCTGCACCGCATTAAGTTGTAATAGTGGTTTGAACCTTTGTTTTGACCCCGGTGTGATCGGTAGGTTTAAGAAAAGAGAGTTACAGTACAATACACTTGTAAATTTATACACTGGGAAAAAAACATTTCTTTTGTCCTCCTTAAAAACTCAAGTAATGAAACTGCAAAGGGTATTAGAGGTCAAAAAACAACACTGTAAAATTGAGCATCCGTAAAGCCACGCCCCCTGAGGTTACTGTTACACCTGCAGATAACGGTGGCAGATTTACCACTTACAAATTTAAATTGACAGAAGTCGACAAAAGCAGCCACAGATGGCCGGCTGGCGACTGTCGATTTTACCGGATGAAAAAACGACTATCGACAACTATCAACTATATTTTGTTAGCTGCAACTAGCTCGCCAACTAAGCTTACATTTGCAGTGTTAGTTGATTGAAAGCTCTGTCTCCGGCTGACTATTTAATCTTTCTGTCTGACTTCATTTCAAAAAGGAAACTTTGGAAAACGGGTCTTAAATATGCACTTGATGGCTACATGATTACGTGCTAAAGGACAGGCTAAAATGAGTCAATCGTTGTCTTGCCTTCGAGATCATTTACACACTTGAGGTAACACTTCATTTTACAGTTATTACAGTTATTGTAAATAAATAACTTGAAAATGAAAAAGCTACTTTGTATTTACTATAAATTCCACTTATAATTACAGTCCAGCAGTTGCACAGTTGCTTACAGTTGTTACAATGCAGCATTGGCACTTTGTTACATCTCATAACTACCAGTAATCATATTTCTGTACCAATGTAATAATACAAATATGTAAACACAACTTAATTATTGAATCTATTCAAGTCTCTACAATGTTTATAACATGGTAATTAGCGTTTCATTTATCAGGACCTGGTAATTACTGTACTGTAAAATAAAGTGTTACCATCCTCGCTAATAAAGGCAGTATTTACACTCGATTCAGGCAATCTCTCCAAACTGTCTGTATGGCAGCTGTGTGAAACTCTACATTGATTTTTTTTAAATTTATTCTTTTACCCCACCATTGTTCATGTATTCAACACACAACTGCAATCTGTCTCCTTGACCCAAAACAATAGCGTGCAGCTCAATTACTTGAGAATCTAAGTCGACCAGATGGATTTGTTGTTTACAGCGCATTCATCATAAGAGCACCAAAGATAGTGTACAGTAGATATATATATACAGCCCAAAGTGTAAGGCGTGACATGATGCAACAGTGTAGTGCAGATATTTATTTTCAGTCCAGTCCACGCTGAGTCCATCACTTTCCATTATATTCCACGGTGTTGTGTTCCATTACTTTCCACTGTATTCATATTCTCTCCATTCAATTCAATCTGTAGTGTTTCATTTGATTCCATTCAACTCTAATTTAATTTCAATTAGTCCGTTCAAAACTTTTCATTTCCACTCAAGGTCCGTGTTTATGTATATCTCTGAGACCAGCCCAGTTATGTTTAAATCACCTGGATATTTTACAATATGCAGTGTAAGTGTTGGTGTGCACATTTTGTTTTTTTCTCCAATCCGCCGACCTCTCTGTGTTTTCCTCTTGCAAACTGATATTACTGCAGAGACGCCCTGCGCTATAGTTTAATTATCCTAAGCCTTGTTCCAATGTGTGCAGCATTGCATTTACTGTACATTTACAGCGGCTGTGGTCTGTAAGTGGAGTCCTGTATTTCTATAGGTTGTATCAGCCCACACGTACGGCTGGATGCTTGAGTTATTATACAAGGTTGCACTCTATGATTAACTAGCCTAGTCCCCATCATTTCAACCGTGACACATTTAGAAGGTGATTGGCATTGATTATATCTCCCTTAAGATGTAGGTACAGTACAGTTTCCCATACATACATATTATTTATGGCGGCCAAACCCACTTATCGTCTTGAACTATTCTGTTAATTTCAACGGATACTATTGGGACATATTCTGTACAATCATGTCCATGTGTTTATTGTACAGTATGAATAGTACCTTTACCTGCCGCTCATAGCACAAGGCATGTGGGAAATATTTTTTTATGTAATCTAAAGAATCTAACTTGTTTCAAATTCTTGTGTGGAACCAGACATGAGACCGGCCAAGAGGCCATCCCAACTGTCCAACGATATTTAGGCATACAAGGTCTACAGCAGGGAGGTTTGTCAGTTTTAAAGGTTTCAGGCAGGATTGCTAAAATGATGTACTGACCCTGCGTTAAGATGTTAAGAGCACACCAGGGCACGGATGAAAGAAGAGTTTGCTCTTTGTTAGAATTCCTGGGTTATTCAGTTACTGTAAAGTGTACAGAATTATTGTAAGGAATGAAAGTTGAGGATGGAGGACACTGGCTGAATGTGATTATTCAGTGTCCAACTTCCTTCATGCACCCATTTGAAAACGTGACTAGACTAGGTAAGGCAAATCTCTCCTAGCTTAGTCTGCCAAAGGCTAATAGCAGGCTAGTGGAATCATCCCCGATGAGGAATGTCTGTTCAGCAGTTGGAGCCAGCAGGTGTGTAGTTACTCAGCTCCCTGCGGATGGTGCTGAACGGCGACAGCTCCAGCTCGGTGGTGCACTCGTGTTCGTTATCGTCACTGGCGGTGGCCGAGGAGGGAGCGTGGTTACAGCAGCAGCAGCAGCAGCAGTCCAGGAAGGCTCTGCCCAGCGGGCGACACAGGAGAAGCAGCAGCGCAGGCGTCACGGCGGCCCGGCAGAAGAGCAGCAGCTGGGAGAGGAGATGGAGGACAGACATGGTGTGCTCAGGAACACCTGCCGCCATGTACGCCGAAACTATGTTGCAGATGTTCTCGGGCACCACGCACGCACCGTAGACGATCGCCAGCGCCACAACGGTGCAGTTCATCTGGCTCTCCAGTCGGATCTGCTTCTTGTTGCTGCGCACGCTGGCCTGCTCTGCGCGCCGGATCTTGCGCGCCGTCACCAAAGAGCACCCGATGGTGAAGAGGGTGGGGAGGCAAAAGTAGCAGCCGAAGCACCACCACAGCCGAGCGCCCTCGTAGGTCAAGCCCAGCACGTAGAGCATGTCGGGAAGTGAGGTGGATATCCTGATAATACAGCGTTCAACAGGAGGCTCGTCCGGGACTCCTGTGTCCTCCACCACCAGCTGTCTGATGAGGAGCTCTGGGAGGGCCAACAGGAGAGCGCCGATCCAGATGACGGCTAGCTTAGCAGTGGTGGAGGTGCAGTTCTCGATCATCTCGTAGTACATCTGGACATTGGTGGCCGCACGGAAGCGGTCGATGCACAGAGCGCACAGAGTGAAGGTGGTTACGCCGAGAGAGGCCACCTGAGGGAACAGACAAAGAGAAATTCATACATCAACCATTCATCAGAATCAACGTCCTTTTAGTCGTTGTGTACAATGAATGTACAGGTCTTGGTGGCTTGCAGAGGCTTTACTTGATTGAATCGATGCGCCTTAAGAATGCTGTTTATATCTTAAACAGGACTGTCGGGGAGAATAATAGAGAGCGAAGTGATCCAGAGAGCCAATATTCTAACAATAGTCTAATACTGGAGACAATCTAGTATTATTTGTATCTTCTAGGATTTTATTCGTTTACTTATATTCTCTTATTAATGTCTGTTTTTATTTGACCATTCCTGTGTTTCATTTATTCTCTTAGTTAACCACTTTGGTCAACGTTTTTTAAATGTGCTCTATAAATAAACTTGACTATAATCACTTCAACTGACAAAATGAGCATGCCGAGGTTGTCAGGTCCCCCGTCTTAAATGAATAAAATAATTACAAGGAACAGACAAAATGATCTCCTGTGTAATAAAATGTTACTGACAGCATCTTGCAGAATCTTAAGGGAGGGCTGCCAGTGAAGTAAACAAGTAGATTCCTTTACATCAAATGCAAACAAAGGCCTTTCTGCGAGTTGTCAGGTCGCCCAACACACCACGTAAAAATAAACGGCAGGGCACACAGGAGTGGCGTTGGCCTTTCGGGTGCACCTGACACTGGTGTAATTACAAGCAGTGCAGCAACAGAAGCACAATGGCAGGCTGTAAGCTGCTCACTGTGTAGCATCCCTGAATGTGTGTGTGTGTGCGTGTGAGAGAGAGAAGAGAAAGCAGACAAACAGAGACCACACACACACAGCGAGCGAGTGACAGGGTGGATTAAAAACACTGCACTCACTCATTCCTGTGTTTTCACACCTCCTGTTCAACGAGGCTCACTAATTAACAAACTTCCAAAAACATTCCACTGTTGTCCTGCTAATGCTTCACTCAAAACCTTCATGCTATCAAACTAATTGCCTCCACGTTCTCAATGAAGAACTATCTGCAAATTGTGAGGGAGCTCACAACATTTCTCAGCACCAGAAAACATCTGTTGGATTATCAGTCATTCTGGGAGAGTGCAAAACATTTCTCTGCAGCTGGAGTGTGTGTGTGTGTGTGCGTGTGAGACATGTGTGTGTGTGCGCATGAACCAGTTTTTTCAATGGTTTTGCCTCCAGCACCAAAATCTGCCAGAACAGCCGCTGACCCCCCCCAATCCTCCGTCCTATCTCACGTTGCTTACCTTTTCTCCCTGACTCTCCCTTATCTCTCCTCTTTTTTACTCTCCTTAAGCTCCTCACTCTCTGTCCCCCTCTTATACATCCCTCCTTCCTTTCCTCCGTTCATATCAAATTTAATTACAACAGCCATCTTTCCAGATGGCCCCAGTGAGCCCCGGGTTTAGTGCTCCAAACACATACTGTCTGGACAGATACAGATGTACACACTGCAACATGTTCTGTGTATCTTGGCCTCACACACACACACACACACACAGACACACACTGACCCTCTAACACACATGGTTGCCTAACCAGTCTAATGAAGGAAACAGTGAGGGGTAAGTGGGGTAGATAAACATACTCCAGCACTATGGACAGTAGCTGTTATCAATGTGTATTACATGCCATTACGCCACAATCTTGTAGCCGTCATTGTCGTTAATTGTTTGGAAATGTAGCCAAAGCGAGAACAATTATTATTCATTAGCTTTTTAAGCGATGTATTTTTATTTTTTTTTTCAGAGCAACTTGGAAAAGACTTAAGCCAAGCATATTTATGTGAGTGGTGTACTCACACTCTAATCGGATTAAGCCCTCAGGTGATTTGGGCAGGTGTCAACATATTGAGTGCACTTTGCAGATGTTGCCATCTTACACTCCGTGCTTTGGAAAGTCAGGCACCAAAAATCGAACAAATGCAGGAGACTGTGCAGCAGTCTTGAAAAGGTAATTTATAAAGAGCTATGAGTCAATCATGCTCATGTTAAGTTAAAGGGTTTGTTTTCGTTTTGATTGCACGAGTGACAGAAATCTTGTAAGACAACCGTCTAAAACAAAGCCTAAATTAAATCATACATTAATGAAGGCATTAATGCATGTAGGCATTGCAGTAAACAGTCATTTTTGTCACTATCTGACATGTCGTAAACATTGAATTGTTTACGCCATAGAGTTTCAAATGGCCCATTATACTGCTGGTACCTTGACCTAGAGAAAAAGATCAAAATCCAATCCAATTGTGTTTTGTGCAACAACCATGAAGTGTCAGCCTGGAGCCGTTATGGCACTCACGTTTAAACAGGAGTTTGACAGCATCAGCTCATCTCCATCATGAATAAAACACAAACCTACTGATACCGACACACGGCAATTCTCCTCACTTCATTCTTGTGACTCATCCGTTGGCGTCTATATACCATTCAGTGAAATTGCTCTCTATTTATTTCTCCACTCCACTCCACAGCTAACACACTATAACACTGCATGTTAGGAATACATTTTTGTGATTTAATGGAGAACAGTGAGGTGTTTGTGATAGCTGGTTCTTATCAGTAGAGTGGCGTTGCATCCCTAGGAAATACAATAGTTTTCTATTTTATAATAGCATTTAAACATGCGTCATATTACGCATCTACTTGTGCATCTCCCCTGTACACCTGCACATCTGTATTCTCATATGGTGGCTTCAAGGGAACACACACACTCACACACATACACACTCACACATACCCAATCCAGTACACACGGACAGGTGCTTGCACATAGTGAATATTTCATTGCTTGAACAACAGTGCTGGAACAGTTTTAAAGGCTGTCATGGAGGACCTGGAAACCCAGCTTTGATCAGCGTGTTGGGGTGGAGAGCAAGGGCAGGATGAACAAGCACAGCTTTGTACTAGAGGGGAGATAAGAGAGAGAGAGTCCAGGAGTCAGGCCTGGTAGGGTGATGAAGCTGTGTGTGTCTGTGTGTGTGTGTGTGTGTGTTTGTGGAAGGGGGTTATGCAAATGAGGGACAGAGAAACAGGGACAGAAGAAAGGATGAGGAAAAAGAGTGGGAGAAAGAAATGAATGAGTGAGCGGGAGACAACAGCAAGGGAACACATCAGTGAGTTAGAGACAGTCCGATGTGACAGGAAGAGAGAAATAAGCCAACATCTTCAGAATGATTAACAATGTTGATGTGGCATTTCTTGCAAAAAGTAGCCCTGACCCCGTCATGTTCCATTAAGTTGCTGGCAAGATGATAGGCATGCTTGCCTCAGGGTGGAAAAGATGATTCTAAAAATAATGTATACATTTTTCCAGAGTGATTTTTTTTTTTTTTACTTTTCATGGTTTCTACGCCCCCATTTTAGGAATTATAAGTTATACGAGTTGGATGAGAAGATACCACTCTCATGTTTGTAAACGGAATACAAGGCAGCTTAGCTTAGCAGTAGCTTACTTATTATAACAGGTCACATCTCATTTCTTGTTCTGGTGTTATTTGTGTACCATTGCTTTTGGACATAGCCAGGCTAACTGCTTCTCCCTGTTTCCTGTCTATATGCTAAGCTAAGCTAACCGGCTGCTGGCTGTAGCTTTACATAGGAGAGAGTGGTACCGATCATCTCATCTAACTCTCAGCAAATATGTGTATTTCTCAAAATGTGGGAGTATGCCCTTACTATAGTTTTGTGAATTATCTGTGTTGTCATTAAAACTATTTTTTGACACCCTCAATTCAAACCAACTCATAAAATGATAATAAATGCTTGTGAAGTACCATTTTTCCCCTTGATGTTATACATTTCTTCTCAACCTTGGACTTCAAGGGGGAAAAAAAAGGAACATAAAAAGGCTTTTCATCTACAACACATGTCTGGCCGTCTATCTGCACAGCAGGTGAGAGAGACATTTCCCCGTGTGCTGCTTTTAATAACGGCCCATTAACTTCCTGATTAAAGGTCCTGTGAGCTGGTGGCACAAAGACCCCGTGTTATTAATTGGGTTTTAACAAGGACTGGTGGAGCCTGGGCGGCCATACTGTGACTATACAGCCACTGTCAGGGGTAATGGGTGTTATCAGGTGATGAATGTGGAGACACAAAAACAACACACACACACACACATATAGTCGTATAACAACGAGCCATCGAGACAAAGGGTTATTCCAGCTGCAGTCCTATTTCTAGGTTGAGTGTGTGACCCAGTGCAGGCTCCAGCAGACCATAACTCTAACCAGAGAGACCCTGTCACTGGCAGCCACCATCCGTCTTAACAGCTGGGCTGTGTGTCTGGGAGAGACAGGACACTGATGTATGTGAGCTCGCATGCACAGTTACAAGTATGCGCATGTCTGTTCGCATCCACTGTTCATGCAGAATTATTGAAATTTGTATTTCATTGTGGGCGTGTGCATATGAAGTGTCGTTGGTGGATACATATGTGTGTGTGTGTGTGTGTGTGTGTGTGGGATTATGGCAAACCGACACGTGGATAAATCCTTCGTTGTGGGCTGAAAAAGATTTTTCCGTGATTATGTCAGAGCAAAAAGCCCATATCTCTCTTTGTTATGCTATGTTTTGTATTGTATTGTATTCTATTCTATTCTGTTCTAGTCTGGCAAAAACATTCTCAACACAAGTTCCACTTGTGTGTCCTAAGCTTTCCACAAAGCTTTTTGGCTTTTTGACTGACAACAGGATGGAAGAGCTAGCTCTTTCCAAAGGCAACTCAATTCACCTCCCAGCACCTACGAAGCTCAATAATTAACACATTATATATCTGTAATCTCTACAGAAACCATCGTGCAAGCGTCAAGGTGTGGTTTTTCGGAGATAATGTGATGCGCTGAAACTTCCTGGGGTCTTGTTGTCACCGGGAGGTTGCCAGGCAACCAGCTGGGGACGACTGTGTGATGTGATCGAAAGCTCCACAATGGACCTTGTGCTAAATTTGTCTAGTGTTTCCAAAGTAAAGATCAGGCTTTCAGTCAATTCTATTC